CAGAGGCTGGTGGGGTCTGAGTGAGCTTAGCTAAGCGGGAGGACGCCGAGTGATGGGCGCCCTCGCCGCATTTGAAGGGAAGATGAAGGCTGTGCCAGGAAGAGAAGGAACAGACCATGCGAAACAAGGAGCAAGCATCTCAGTGTGCTCCTGCCCACCCCACCTGTGTCAGCCACCCAGGGTCTCGGGCTCTGGCTCCTGGCCCCTGACCCTGGGGTAGGACTAGGTGCCCGGGCCTTGGCCTAAGAGCCAAGGCCTGTGCAACCCCTGGGAGCCAGGCTTTGGAGGGGCCCAGGCCTGTCCAGCCACCAGGCGGACCCTGCCCAAAGCCCCGCCCCTTCTCACAGCCACAGGTGCAGCAGGGAAGCCTCAGGCTTGGCTCCCCTGCTGCTGTGAGACCCCCGTGGGCTGAAGTGCTGGGTACAGGGCCGCCCTTTTCCGTGTCTAGGGGCCATGATCACCCAGTTGCGGGGTGCACAGGTGCGTGGGAAGCTGTGGGCTGAACCAGCCTGCTGGGTTCCGACGACCCGGACGGCACCCACATCTGCTGGCGGGCAGCGGGATGGGGCTGCCCCTCCCCCTTCCCTTCCCGAGCCGGGCTTTTGTTATTCAGAGTTCCCTTCCTGGGGTCAAGCGGCCACTTGGAGACCCCCATGGCGCTCAGCTCAGCGCCGGTCCCTCTCTGGGCCAGGTGCCTCCGCGGAAGTGGGGTCGGGGGCAGGCAGAGAGGGGACAAGGAGGGGCCCGCAGCCCCGGGGGCCTGCCTGCCGGCGGGCGGGCTTAATAGGATCAGGTCGGTGTAATCCCATCTCAGCCATTGTCACTCGGGCGGCCGGGCTCTTTAAGAGGACGCGCGGCCACACCAGAGCAAGCGGCACCACAAAGGCCGCGGGGGCTCCAGTGGCGGGAAGGGCAGAAGTGAAGGCCTTGGGGGTGGGCGCTCGGCGCAACCCCGCGTCCCGGGCCTGCCCCGGGCGCCCTCGGGCCTGGGCGCGCCCTCGCGGCGGGGCCCTCAGTTTGGGGCTCAGGCCCGGAGCGAGGTCCCGCGCCCCTGACGGCCTCCACCTCTGTCCCGCTTGGCCCGCGGGGCGCACGACGGCTCGGGCAGCGCCTGTGGCTCCTGGCGGTGGCGCGGCCGGGTCGTGCGCCGGTTCCAGGCAGGGGATGGAGGGACCGGGAGCACCCCAGAGGCCATTCCCATCCAGGGAGAGCTCAAAGACCCCCCCCCCACCGCGGGGAGAGGGACGACCTGCACAGCCCAGGTCACCCCGAGACCGGAAAGGGAGGGGTCCGCGCCGTGGAAGGTGGACCGAGTGCGGAGCCGGGCCCCGTGCGCAATGGGGACTGAATGAGGGCAGCTCGCAGGGGCGGGACCCGGGAAGAGAAGGACTTCCGTCGGGGATGGGGTCGCCCTGCCAGGAGGTCCAGAGAGCCGACTGGAGAGCAGGGGCCGCTCGGTTACGCTGGGCGCCTCCAGACCGCATTTCGGGCTCCCCCCACGGGGTGGGACCCATGGCTCTCCAGGGACGCGGAGAAACCCCGCAAAGCGGGGTTGGCGGGAGAGGGGAACCCAGGGCCACACGCGCTGGGACGCGCGCAAGGACTGCGCGCTCGCTCCCACCACTGCTCGCCGGGCCTTGGGTCCGAGCTGGAGTACGCTGGCGGTGTCCACGCTGCGGGCCTGCCCCCACCGCCCTCAGCCCCGCCTGCTCGCGTGCGGGGCCCGTCGTGTCCGCTGAGCCTCCCAGGCCCGGCGCCGACGGGGCGGCTCCGCTGCGCTGCCCTAGACCCGGGCCCAGGTCCTGGTTGAGAAGGCGCTGCTGGACCAGTCCCCGAACCCGGGAGGGCAGCAGCCGGTTCAGGTCTGCCACTTCTCAGCGGTGCAAATAGACAATCAATTTTTATGATGTAATTCATAATTTATGCAGGTTGTCTTCATACATATGGTGTTGCTTTTGTGTGCCGGGGTTTCGGGTGCTTTATTACTCCGACGGTGCGATTTGCATTCATGTTCGCTTACCAGGATCATATTTCTCCTGTTTATACCATAAGGGCCCAAAATGAAGATTGATGCTGCTTCCTTTAGTCCAGGCCATCCCTATAGACCCTGGGCTGAGGCTACCCCCCCATACCAGAGCTCCGCTACCCCCGAACCTGTGCCCCAGCTTGGGGGGGTGGAGGTGGGAGCAGGCCACCTGCTCTGGCTGTGCCCTCGAGCAGGTCTCCAGGGACAGGAATAGGCAGTGGTGCACCGGATGGTGGAAGCCCCAGGCAGGCAGGCAGGCAGGCAGGAGGACAGGGCGGCCATGGAGGCCAATGCTGCTGCCAGCGCTGCCCATTGGACCACCCTACCCAGTGGTGACAGCCCAGCAACAAAACTGGGATAGTCACCCTCCTGGAAGTGGCGAAGCCAGCATCTCTCTCCTGCTTTCTGGGCAGCCAGGGCTGAGCCCTGCTGGGGACAGGCCCGGGCTGGAGGAACAGCCTTGGGGGAGGCTCTGTGAAGGGTTCACCAGACCGGGCTGAAATGATTAAGCCAATTAAGCCCAAGCAAACAGAGAGGAGCCAGTGGGGCGCTGACCCCCTGAGAGGGGCATTCTGCCATGCGGACACTTGTGCCAGGATCCGAGGGCTGGAGGCCCAGTGGGCAGGCACCCTCGCAGTCAGGATGGCTCTGTGGGGGCAAATGCAGGCCCCGTAGGGTCTGGAAGGGCCTCACCTTCCACCCGTGCAGCTGAAGGGAACCCTGTAAACAAGCACCCGCCCAGGGATGGTGGAGCGGACGCTGGCGGCAGGGCCGGCACCGCCCCGGAGTCCCACGGAGGCTAGGGTTGGGGAAGGCCCCAGCACAGGCGGCCCAGGCCACTCTGGGGGTCCTCTCGCCCCCCGTCAGGAGCTGGAAGAGGAGGCTGCTCCGACCGGGGACCAACTCAGACTCCCTGCCCGGAGACAGCGGAGTCATGGCTTCGGGTTTTCCAAGTTCCCTCCGTCTCCAGTCTCCAAAGGGGTTGGGGGCACCCGGCTCCCGGGGGGGGGGAGCCACGGCAGGGGGGGTCGCGGGGTCTGGCGACTGCCCCGAGCCCCCGACCTTGTTCCTCCGCCTGGGCAGCCGAGGCAGGGCTCTGGCAGCCCCCAAGCGTCCCGGTGGCACCGCCAGGGGCACAGGTCCATGGTGCTCTTGAGCCGTAATTATTTGATCTGCAGATGTAAGTGGGATTTATTGTTACAACAAATATAGTGATGTCAAAACCCAGCCTTGGATTAAAGCCGGCAGCCAGAGGGGAAGTGTATTAATTTCCAGCAGCATCTCGGGCCACAGCCTATTAGAACAAGCTATTCCTCAGGACCCCCCCATCAGAATTAATCATTGGGAGTTAATTTGAAGCTCAGACAAGTTGCTGTTAATTTAGTGCAGGGAGGACGGGATGGGATAAAAAGCTGAGGTGCTGGCCGAGCCTCGTGGGTCTCATTAATCAGCCAGCTGAGACGGCCTGGCTTGATTACAATTTGCAAAAAAATTCATTAGGGCCCGGGCGATTGACAATTTTTCTCTCTGCCTGTGATGTGACTCATTAGGCAGCCAAATGAAAGCGGTGATGATGGCCATGATGACAGCGGCCATCAAACGCCGCTTGTTTATCTTCCTCCCCTGCCTGTCTCCCGGGCCTCGGCCTTCGCCACGGGGCGCCCGGGCGCCCAGGGACTGCGAGGGCCGGCGGGGCCGCAGTGTCTGCGGGGCTCTGGGCGCTCCCTGGGGGCGAGGGCCAGGCGGCTGGGGAGGGCCGGGGAGCCCGGGCCTGGGGCTGCCCGCGCAAGCCGCCTCTCCTTCCCCGGGGAGCTCGGCTTTCCCTCGGGTGTGCCCCCCATCCTTGCCGGGGGCTCCGGAGAAGGCGGAGGAATGCTGCTCCTGTTGTGGCGGAGGGGCGTTCGGGACCCCCGATGCGCAGGGTCCCTCCCCGAGACGCGGAGCGCGTAGGGAGGCCGCAGCTCCCCTGGCCCCACCGCCGGACTCTGGGCCACCAACCACAGGTCCGCCCGAGGGCACAGCGGCCCCGTGTGAGTGTTGAGGGCGGGCGATCGGCGTCCCCCGCGGCCCTCGAATGCCGCGGCCACCGCGTGTGGCCAGTGGGGACGTGCCCCGGGCAGGCGGCGTGTGCCCATCCTGGCGCGCTCCGGGGGTCGGTATCCAAGGGGCTCGCGGCCCAGCGCGACCTGCGTGCAGCCACTTCCCCCACCCCTCCCGGCCGCGGAAGCCGCCGCGGACGTCCCCAGAGCAGCCGCCGCCTCCGGTTTGTTGCGCTCAAAACCCAGCCTGGCCGTTTCCCGCCCCTGGCCACGGTCACTCCCGGCCTTCGCGCTGCCCCTGAAGTTCGGGCCGCGGCCTCGGGACCCAGGTCCGCCGGCCGCGAGGAGGGGACAAGTTATGTCACTGCTAGCCCTGGCCCACGGCCATCGTTTCCCCTTCTGGGGCCGAGCCCTGCGCGTAAGGGCCACGCGCGGGGCCTTCGTCGCGGCCCCCCACCTCCCCTGCCTCCATTCGGGAGGCTGAGCAGGCGAAGCCCCCGGCTCCTCGCGGGGCTGGCTTTGGTGGGTGCAAGCGATCCGGCCCCGCGCTCACCCGCTCCACGCCCCGGGGACACCCGGGGCCTGGCCGCTCGCATCTGGGAAAGCAGCGGGCGGGGCCAGGGGTCCCGGAGGCGTGGGCTTGGGGCCCCAGCACGTCCCTCCCGCGCCCCGTTGGCCGCCTCACTAGGGCAGGGAGGAGCCCGGCGCGCAGGGCCCTGGGCCGCGACACCCAGTCGCCCGCACGCCTCTCGCCTTGCGTCTTTGTGGCGCTGACCACCCCGGCGCCCTTGGGGTGGGGCGGTGGTCGAGGCCCGCCCCCTCCGCCCCCGCCCGCGCTCACCGCCCACCGCCCACCTCCATCGCCGGGAAAGCCCAGCTCTGCTGGCCGGGTTTCTGCGGCGGTGCTGCCGGAAGACGAGGCCGGGACCCTGATGGATGCAGCCCGTGCCCTGCGGGAGAAGCCACGCCGCGGCTTTTCGGGTCTGGGCTGTGGGCGCAGAGGTGCGCTTCCTGCCTGGCTGCGGTCGATCTAGGGCCCCAGGAGTTTGTGCGGAGCTCCCCGGGTGCCCGCACTGGCCACCGCTCCTCCGGCCGGCCGAGGCCGGGCAGCCTTCTGGCCTTGGATGGGGGCGCCGGAGGGGGGCGGGTTGCATCTCTGAGAATTCAGTTTTCTTAAATTCCTAACCCCACCGGGACTCTTGCCCATCCAACTTAACCCCAGGCGAGGTGCTTTTCGGCCCAAGACCAGCCAGCCTGGGGTCACCCTGGCAGTGCCCCCCCCCCCACTGGACACACTCCGGAGGCCCAGGGGTTGGTCTGATTGTTTTGTTTTTGTTTTTTGTTTTTGTTTTTTGCTTTCCTCTCTCCTTTTTATTATTCACAAGATCGAGATTGCTTAAATGTCATAACTTAAAGGAAAATAAGCTACATTGAAATAAATTAAACACAGGAGACGGCTGGAGATGGGAAAGGAAGCCAGGCCAAAGCAAAGCAAACTTGCAGGCTGCCACAGCGTCTGCTTCCGTCAACTAAAACTCCAGAACAGAAACAAAAATAAGTGTGACCCGGTGTTCGTTGCGTTCGTGTTTACCTTTGGAAAAGCGGCTGCCATGGCTGCCGACTCGCGGGCTGTTTGCTTTCTCCGGGAGCGAGAGCGGAGCCCATTCCTGGTCATTTGGTCCCGTGTGACTTTCCAAAATACTGCAGCCGAGATCCGGTCTCTCTAGAGAGCTATGTACAAAGTAGGCTCCTACAATAAATACTGAATGCATCTGCAGGCGTGGCTGGCTTCAGCCCCCCAAAAGCGGTCTGTTTCGTGGGTATATTCTCAATGGGCTGGGCTGTGACACCCAGTGTTGTTTCAAACGCAGCGGAGTCCACCAAGGAGCTGCGGGCGCTGGGCCTCTCCGCGGCTGGCGGCGGGGAGGGCGCTCAGGGCCGGGCCTGCTCCAGCTGCTGGTGCTGGCTCCGAATGGCGAACCTGCTGACGTGGACGGGGATGGGCACGACGATCTTGGGGTTCCGCGAGGGCTCCCCGGTCTTGGAGTTGGCATTGCCCGCCTTCACGCGTTTCCACTTGGCGCGGCGGTTCTGGAACCAGATCTTCACCTGCACCTCGCTGAGTTTGAGGGCGTGGGCGATCTGAGAACGCTCCGTCAGCGACAGGTACTTCTTGCAGTGAAACTCCTTCTCCAACTCCAGCAGCTGCTCGCTGGTGAAGGCAGTCCGCCGCCGCCGGTTCTTGCCGGTGGACGTGGTGCCGCCCGCCGCGCCGCCGCTCGCCGGGGGCTCCTCCAGCGCGTGGCCCGCGTCCTCCTCCTTGTGGGCCGCCTGGCCGGTCAGATTGTCATCCGAGCTGTAGTCCACATCGCTCTCCAGTGAGAAGCTCTCCTCCTTGCCCTTCGGGTCGTCTTCCACCTTTGGCTCGTCTTTCCCTTGTCCTCGGACAGCCCCGACTGAAAGCAAAACCAAACGGCGTTTTATGACCGCCCGCACTCCGGCCTTCCTCTCCCTTGCGCGCCTCCGGCTGCGGGTCGCCAGTCCTGGACGTTATCCCGCGGGGATTCCTCGGCCTTGGGTGGGGGTGGGGGTGGGCAGGAGAGCCTGAGAAAGCCCACAGGAGCGCAGGGGACCGCACAGGCCGCGGGGCCATCGCTCAAGGGCCCGCCATGCCATCCGCGCACCCTGCCTGCGCTGGCCACCGAGGGAGCAGTGGGAGGCGGGAGGCCCAAGGGCGCGCGTCCCCTTTGTCCCCCGGCGGCGGCGGGCTGGGGACAGAGGGGAAGTTCCTGACCCAGCCGGCGGCTCTTCCCCGGGCCCACGAAGGAAAAATTCCCCGAAGGTGAATTCCATCGCAGCCACGGCGGGGACGCGGGGACGTGCAGGTGCCAGACCGCGAGACAGGTGGTGCTGGCCGGAGAGATGTTCCCGCAGCCTTGGGGGAAGTTCCCACCGGGCACCCCCGGCACACACGCCCAGGGAAGGGTTCAGCGAGGCCGGGCGCTCCTGGGCACCCGCACCACTGTGAAGAGCAGCTGCCCAGACTCCCCTGAAGGCTGCGTCCGGTGGAGCCGGGCGGCGGGTTCCTCCGCACGCGCCCCTGCAGACATGTGGCGCCCCGCGCAGCCGCTGGCTGGGGGCGCCGAACGCCCCTCAAGAGACCCCCCCTTTCGGTGTGTTTCTAGATGCCCGCCGGAGGCCGTGCGGCGCAGCGCGACCCAGCGGGCTCCTCCCGCTCCTCCGGCAGGGGGGCGCGGCCTCGCCCCCCGGACCCCCGCGGGAACCTCGCGCCCGCCCGCCCCCGCCCCGGCTGCGCGCGCCGCCGACTCACCGAGCGACGCCTGCACCGCCTCGGCGGCGGAGAAGGCGAGCAGCGACCCCTCCTTGGACAGGAAGCCTTTGCCGTCCTCGGCGTCGGCTTGCAGCGCCTCCGCTTTGTCGAAGTTGCCGCCGCCCGGCAGCGGCTGCGGCGCGAACTTGCGGGCGGCCGCCGCCTCCTGGTGCTGCGGGGCCGCGGAGAAGCCGCCGGGCAGCGTGGCCATGAGCGTGGAGGTGAGCGCCATGCCCTGCGCCAGGCTGGAGCAGAAGCCGGTGGGCAGGCTGGGGATCTGGTGGTGGGGGTGCGCGGGCGGCAGCGCGGCCTGGGGCAGCGCGGGCGGCGGCGGCGGCGGCGGCAGCACCACCGGCCGGTAAGGCATGAACATGGGGTAGCCGGTGTAGACGAAATGGCCGGGGCTGGGCTGCGGCGGGCTGCCGATCAGCGAGTCTATGCTGAAGGCCGTGCTACTCCCCAGCGGGCGCTGCATCATCATCAGAGACGGCGACGGGAACGCTGCGCTCATAGACGCGCTCGGGAGAGGCCGGCGAGAGGTGCCAAGTGCCCGCGCCGCGCCGCCGCCGCCGGGAAGCCCGCCGGACGCCGGGAGCGCCGGGCCGGGGCCGAGCGGGGCCCGCAGAGCAGACGCGGCCGCGCCCTCAGTCCTGGGCCCGCGGCATGCCCGGCGGGCGCGGGCGGTGCGCCGGGAGAGGCCGTGCGCCCCGGGGTGGAGAGGGCGCGCGGGCCTCGCGCGCTCGCCGGAACCGCCGCCGGCTGCTGGCTCGTCCAAGCCCGCGCGCGTCGCGTCCGCGACCCTCGGCCCCGACTCGCTGCCGGCCGTGCGTCCGTCCCGCCGTCCACCGCCGCCCGCGGGCCGCTGGGGAGCGCGCGAAGCCGGCGCACTCGTTTCGGGCGGGCGCCGCCAGCGCCTTTAAATCGCGCTCCTCTTTCTCATTCACGTTTTGCCTCCTGCCCCGCCGGGCTCGCTGCACGTGGGGCCGTGCGCCGCCGCTGATTGGCTGCGCCGGGAGGAGGCGGGACTCCGCCCGGAGGCTCCGCCCCCTCCACCCGGCCCGCCGCGAGCGGGATGCGGGCGCCACCGTCGGAGAGCGGGGGCTCGGGCTCCCGGGCCGCGCCGAGCAAACTTGGCGGGGGCCGCTGGTACCTCCAAGGCTGCAGCCCTGGGGCCCTGCAGCCTCGCCTAGCCTCCTCGAAAGTCGCCGCGGGCGGCCCGGGGGCCGTGGCCATCTCCTGCCTGCGGCCAGCCCTGGGGCTGGGCGCTGCCGCTGCGCTGGGGGTCCCGGCGCGGGGTGGGGAAGGTCCTGGAGTTGGGGGCAGGGTCGTGACCCTCCAGGTCCGCCCCCAGCCCCTTGCCGGCCCGGATCCGGCAGATCCTGTTGGCGGCGGGGAGCCTGGCGGGCGCTCCGGGCGGGGAGCGGTGGCCGCTGGCTCCCGCGTCCCGAGCTGGGCCCTCGCGTGAGCGGTCCCTCCTCTCATTTTTCACATTCTTAATCATCGCACCTATTTGCACACTTTGCCAGCGCGCACCGAAATAACAGCCACGACAATTATGATAATAAAGCGAGTCCTTTATCCGCTCCCTTCCCGGGCAGGAAGGGGGAGTTGCTGCGCCTCCAGCCTGTATAACGTGAGATTATCCTGATGAAAGCTTTATGATGTTTGCTCAAATAAAAGCTGCGTTTTGTAAATAGGCGCTAATTAAGCACGTTGGGCGCGGAGGGAGCGCTCGCCCTGGCGCCGCCGCCGCCCGGGCTCCAGCGCCGGGACGCGAGGGCGCGCGGCTTCCTTGGCCGGCTGCGGGACGGACGCCTCCTTCGGGATACCTCCCGCGCGCTCGACCCCGGTAAAGACGCCGGCCTAGGGGAGAAGGGGTGGGGAGGAGGGGGAGGGAAGCCCTGCTCCCGCCCCCCACCCCCCACCACGGTAAAACAAAAACTTCCAGCCCTTGCGTCCCTTTGGAAACAGAGCCGTTTCGTGGCAAGGACAGACCGTGCCAAGCGCGCCGGCGCGCGCGGGGCTTCCAAGAGCTGCCAGGGCCTCCGCCTCCAGGTCCCGGGTCTCCGTGTCCTTGCCGAACCGCGTCACGGCGAAGACGAGAGGGGGCATTGCTCCGTGGGCCGTGGAAAGTCATCTCGGGCCAAGGAGCCAGCGGCGGGGGAGCTGGGCCATGCCGGGCGTGCGGATCACCTACAAGCACGTTTAATTGGGAGATAAAGACAAATCGATGTTTATGAATTTATCGATCTGATTCTTCGAAGCTCTTTCTCCTGCTTCCTCTATCTCTCCCTGTAACCCCGAGACCCCCCCTCCACGGGGGGGGGGACGTCTTAATCGCCGGTCGCCTCCTCCGCCTGGGGTCTGCCCAGATACCCCCTACCCCTCCAGCGGGCCCTGGTGGGGAGGGGCGGGGGCTCCGAGCGAGCTCGCCGGCCTCGCCGCCAGCCGCCCTCCTCCTCCTCGCCGTCGCCCCCTCCCCACCCCACCGTCCCCGGGACAAAGACGTGTGGAGCGCGTTTCCCCACTCCCGGCCGCAGTAATAGATGGCTCGGCAGCAGGCGGCTTGAAAGGAATTCATTAGGACGCGGCCTGCGCTGCCTGCACCGACTTCACGCCCAGACCCCGGGGTGGCTCAGGTGGTGCGGGGGGCCCTGAATCTCCGCCGGCATCCCCGCGGCGGGAGGCGTCCGCGGGGCCTCGGAGCTCCAAGCCCTCGTTCTCCACTCACACAAGAAGGGGAAAAGAGAAAGAAAGAGAGAAAAATATAGTATATATATGTGTGTGTGTATACCGAAGCCCAGGGCAAAAAAGGCTGGGTTCCTGGCGCAAGCAACACTCGCTCTGCTTATGGGATGCGCGCATAGGCAGTCTCCGGGCCTTTCCCTGTGTTTCCAATGCTGGGAGACAGCGCTCGGCCCTCCTCCCCGGGGGTCCCGGCTCCCCTGCCTGCCTGCCCCCCTCCCCCCGCCCTGCTGGTTCACCGGCAGAATCCCGGTTCAGGGATTCACTGGATGCCTTTGGTGGTAACTCCAGGTTTCAAGTTCAGCAGCAGGAAGGTGTGGGTCCCGGAATTGCTGCCACACTTGAGATAATTTGAAGACGCGTAAATTGCGGCGGACAAGTATTGACTGCGGGGGTTATGGCGCTCATCTTTTATTAGTGAGCTCAGATAATTCTCATCAGTGCGAATCTTATTTACTAGTGTGCTTTTTCCTCCTCCCCTCCCCGAATGCAATGCTGTCATATTTTCTCACCCAACGCCTAAGTGCTTAGGAAACCACTGCCCGCGTCCTCAAAGGATCCTCAGGTTTCCGCGTGGGTCTCCAGACCCGCAAGGCGTGGGCGCCGCCGAGAACCGAAGTCTACGGTTTTTCCTCGGCCCTCCAAGGAGACTGATGGGTAGCGAGCGACAGGTGCACCGCTCAGGCATTCCTGAATTCACACCTGCTCTGCGGCCAGCTGACTCCGGATGCAGGGTCCTGCGCGGGAAAACCCACGGGCCGGATCCCCGCAAGTTCCCTTTCAGAGCCCCGCCCCTCTCCAGCCGCGGAAGGGGAAGGGCTCACGGAACGAGGCCCGGCCCCCGGTTCCAGCCAACTCTCCTTTCCCGGGAAGCGTCCCTTCAGGAGGGCGACAGTCAGCCCCTAGGCGCTGGACTCCGGGGGTGGCCAGTAAGTGGCCGGATGGCGCCAAGCCACGGGAATCGTGGCTTAGACGTTCAGCCACAGGGACGGCGATTCCGCGGGCCCCACGCATCGGCGTTCATGTGCGGGTGTGTGGAGGCCGAGCGTGCACAACAGAACGCACACGAGTGAGTGAATATTCACACAGCGAAATCGCGTGGGCCTGCTGACCGGGACCTCGCCAGCAGGAGCAGAGGACCGTGCGCACTTGGATGTGGCCCGCCAGGGTGGAGGCGTCTGGTGGTCGTGGCGAGGGGGCGGCCTGGGTGCCCCAATCTCGGTGGACGCGGGGAAACCGCTGGCTTCGCGGGCCGGGGCGCAGGCGGCTGGTTGGTTTCTCCGGCAACCGGGTTGTTTTATTTATAGGGATTTGGAGGGCCTGACCACTGGGTCACTGTGGCGGCTCTCGCCCCTGGCAGGAGTTGGGAGATAACTCGGGATGGGTTTATTTATGGACGGGCAATTGGGATTCACACCCAGCTAACCCGGAGCAGTCCCTCCCTGGCCCAAGACGCACTCACAAAGGGGTGCTTGTGTAAAATTCCCCATCAGACACACCAATTTGCAAGTAGCAGAAAGCATTGAAGCCTCATCTTTTTAAACTGTTTTATTCAGTTTTTTTTTTTTTTTTTTTTTTTTTTTTTTTTTTTTTTTTTTTTTTTAAATCTGAAAGCTCAAAATAGACTCCATGTGGCTCTAAGTGAAGCCAGCCCTTGGCCGGCTTTGAAATAGCTCCTGCAATTATGTAAAAGAGCCATTCACCAACAGGACGGAATTAAAAGGGATCTCGGCCGCTTCCCTTTCATTCCCAGCCTCTCATGTTTGGCCTGTCAAAGCACCTCCAACACGATGTCTTTCTCCAGGACAAAAGGCAGAACAAAAAAAGTCCCCAAACTTGTAAATTGAACGTCAAGGGAACTTTAAACAATTTAAAGCCCATAAATAATGATAAAGGGGCCGGGCGAAAAAGGCAAACCCATTCAATTAATAGAGTTTCCCAAGCAAAGATCAAGTGGTGGATAAAATAAAAGTCCTTGGTCTCATTATTCTGCTCCTTGGCCATGCAGAAAGCGGCACAGGGGGTTATTCTAAAGCACCCGAAGACGCCGCACTTGGCAGGGCTGCCGGCACAGCCACATTCTTATGGAGAAAGTTTGCTTTTTTGTCCCCACCCTCCAAGTGGTAGAAACAAAACCTCAAACTCGAAACGTGAAGGGGAGGGGCCTTTTCCTTTCTCTTTTTCTTTTTCTTTTGCATTTCCTCCGGGGAGTTGGAACGTGTTTGCCGCCGGCCTGAGGCCAGGAAACGCGACCCCTCACACCTGCGTCGCCTTCCCCACGCCAGCTCGGAGGCGCCCCGGAGCCATAGCCGCGTGGCCCTCGAGACAGACCCTCGTGGGACACGGGGACAGCGCGTGGCGTGGGCTCCTGCGCACCCCGGGAGCCGCCGAGATGGCGGGCGCGGACGGCGCGCCCCAAGAGCGCGCTCGGAGCCGGGGTTGTCCCCACGCGCTGGGCGCCGGGCCGGGCTCTCCGTGGGGCACAGATGGGCGTCCTAGCTCCTTTTCGGAGCAGCGTCTACGGTCGGACTGGGAGTTCATGACCACCGCGGGTAACATATTGTCCAGCGCCTTCCCCCTGGAAGCCGCCCGCCCGCGCTCACCGCGCGTCTCCCCGACAGTGCCCAGCCGAGCAAGGGGGCCTGTCCGCGGGGTCCGGGGCGCAGGACCGCCCACCCTGCGCGCCCAGTGGGAGCACTCGACAGAGGCTGGGCTAGGAGTCCCGCCTCAAGGCGTTCAGGGCGGAGGCTCGGACTGGAGCGACGAAGGACACCGAAGGCACCGGCCGGGGGTGGCGCGGGGTCCGCGCGACTGACGTCCACTTCCTTCACGCACGGGGGTCCCGCAGGCCGTGTA